TTACGATTTTAATTCAAATAATTTGATTGAAATAAGAGCAAAATTTTTGAGGAATGTCAAAATTTCAAGTCTTCCTCTAATAAATTTGATTGCTCACAAGGATTCCTTAAGTTTTTGTTGGAAAATGGTTTTATATAGGCATATTTTTGAGCCCATTATAGGCATAATTTTGAGCCATTTTGGGTGAGCCCCAAACGTCTTTTGGGGTGGGTCCAAAGAGGTGACGTGTTCCTTGCCGCATGGCAAGTCACACGGTGAAGACGGAAGTTCAAAACCATTTATGAGTGAATGGGAAGTTAATGTTGTTTTCGGGTCTAACATTAATTTTTATTTAGATAAAATTCTTTTAATTTTTTCAATAAAAAATTATTGTGGGAATTTAATTTAATTCTAAATTCAAATTTTGGATTTCTTAGTGATTTCCTAAAATTTGTCAAAGAGATTAATATTTTTATTCCAAATAGGTTTTTAATAAATGATAATCTATTCCACTATTGACTTTATTTGATTAAACTACTTCATATAGTTTAAATATAAATATATCCAATAGTTTGAATATTTGTAGTTTTGATTATTTGTTTGCAAGGGATACTTTTTTCAATTAGTTTGAAAATCTGATTGAATAAAATTTGTTCAAAATGGTGCAACGGACACTTTTACAAGGAAATAGGTTTGAAATTTTATTCCAAGCAACGGTCAACTGTACCTTTTGGGATTCCTTTAGACCATGTTTCATACCTGTTCGGGATTAAATGTTGCCTATATATAGAGCCATTGAGCAGCAGTCTATATATCGGAAAAACTAGTCAGAATTTCCTTTCATTTTGCTGTCCAAATCTTTCTATTTACATTATTTTCATATTAGTTTTAGAAATAATTTCAGAGAGTATTAGAACACAGGTTGGTTCGCCGTACAAATTTGTTTGGTGTGCTACAACAATTTTGTGAAGATCATTGTATCCTGGGAGATAGACGCCACTCAACGTATGCACCGTAGCGGGGCGAATCTGTCTTAAAGACAGAGTGTCACACACTCGACTTGTCTTGAATTATTTATTCGGTTTAATAATAAATTCGGTACGTTATTTATTTATTTGTTTGGATTTATTTCTATTTATTTATTTACACAGAAGATTGTTCCAACAATCTTAAGTCAAATTCGAATTATTCTGTTTACAGAATTTTTCGTTTGTTTTCCTTTTTCATTCTTCGTAAATAATTTCGGAAGAAAAATTATTTTCTGTGAATTTACAAAATAATATTCTGGTTGGAAAACAAATAGTGATTATATGCTATTTGACAGATATTAAATACTGTTCTTTTCTTTGACAAAACTAGTAGTACGATACTGGTGCCATTAACAATTCAGAAATATTTTTGTGGAATTTTGTCAGAAAACTAATTTTAGTTTTTAGAAATTATTTTCTGAGTTTTTCTTTAATTAAAATTCTGTTCAGTATTTTAATTATTGAAGTGTTACAGAAATTAATTTTCTGTGTGGAATTAATTTGGTTAAATAAAATTTTATTTTATTTCCAAATTAATTGAAAAATAAAAGTTATAGTTTTTATTTCTTTTATTTTACAGAATTTATTTTCTTGTGTGGAATTAATTTGGTTAAATAAAAATTTTATTTTATTTCCAAATTAATTGAAAAATAAAATTTATAGTTGTTATTTCTTTTATTTTACAGAATTTAATTTCTGTGTGGATAATTGTTTAAATAAATTTTATTTTATTTTCAAATTAATTGGAAAATAAAGTTACATTCTTGTTTCTTTTATTTTTTTACAGAATTTAATTCTGTGAATTTGGTTTAATTTTCTGTGTAAGTGTAATTCTATATATAATTTGTTTTAATATTAGAATTGATGGCTACTGAAACTAATGCCAAACAAGTACTACTATGGTGGCTGCAATGACGCCAACCCCCTCTCCTGTTGTAACAGTACCGGTAAATCACGGTTAAAAGCCAGAGAAGTTCTTAGGAACTGACCTTAAAAGATGCAACAGAAAATGTTGTTCTATCTTACAACTTGAACTTGGCTCGTTTCTCCGTGAAGATGCTCCTATCCTGACGAAGAGGATGAAACCGATCGGCAAGTGGTTGCTGCGGTTTGATGCCTGGAAACATGCCGATTTCTTTCCGGAATTACGTCTTGAACGGACTTGACAACACATTGTACAACGTCTACAGTCCAATCAAGACAGCAAAGGAACTTTGGGAATCGTTGGAGAAAAAGTACAAAACGGAAGATGCGAAAAAAAAAAAAAAAAAAGAAAAAAAAAAAAAAAATTATTCCTACTCAAATTCATCGCAAACCATCTCTGATTCAAAAGCCCAACTTTCTGTAGAAATTATTCCCGCTCGAATTCAAATCAAATTTTGGGGCAAATCAGAGACCCGGAACAGCACAAGACAGGACAGGAGAGAGAGACAGAGAGAGAAAACTGTAGAAACATCTGCAATGGCGATCCAGGCCGAAAATGAAGCAGAGAAGAGAATGATGCAGAAGATCGCCAGGGTTTTAGACGAAACTCGAGCATCGCACGCCACACACATCCGGAAGCTCAAGGACCTCTCCACCCTTCGCTCATCGTCTCCACTCTTATTCTTCTCCGCATTCTCCAAAGCCCTAACCCCTCTCTTCATTTTCCAGCGCCGCAACGCCTCCTCCGAACGAATTGTTAGGTTTGTCGCCATCTTCGCAAGCAATCGAGACTCGAACAATGCGCCCCTCTCCGATTCCTTCTTGGATTCGCTCCTGCGGTTCCTCCTCGTTGCCACCTCCGCCGCCAACAGAACCGTCAGGTTCCGCGCCTGTCAGATTATCTCTGAGGTACTAATTTTATGTACTTCATGTTTTCGTTATGGTCAGATCTGAAGGAAATTATTGAAATCACAGTCAAGTTCGAATCTTAGGTCTTTGCTTTTATTTATTTTGATTTGTAGAAAGTGAAAGAATTCATTTTGAACATGGCTGGTTGTGAAGTTTCAAAATGTTGAATTTTTTAAATCCTGGAATTATTTAAATTTAAAGTTTCTAAGAGCATCTGCATTCCTTACTCCCTTTTTTTTATCCATCAAATTTGAGTGAAATTTGGTTAAAAGCTTACTCCAATCCTTACTCTTTATTATTTTTTTAATCAAATCTTTTGAAAAATTCTGAACATACCGTCACAACCTGTTTTAACCACTTTTTATGTCAAAATCACTTCCAATCCTTATTCTTTATAAGATTTCATCAAATTTGAGTGAAAATATCACTGTTGGAAATTTGATGAAGATTTGCTTTGTCCTTGATTTGATGAAAATTGTGCATCTCCCTTGTTTTGATATGAGTTTGATTGAATGATTGGAGTTCATTTTTAGCTCTGTATTCATCAAACTTAGATTTCATGAAAGAATTGGTGAAGGATTTGAAGTATGCCTTAATGGATCAAAACTCAGGTCCGTCATTTTATGTTGTGTGTTGTAGCAGTTTTCTGGTTGCACTAGCAAAGTGGTCTTCATGTACACCTGCAATGTAGTGGTTTTATCAATCAGACTTGATACTAAGTCAAGTTTTATGCAGCGAAAGGGGAAAGAAAAATGCTAGTTGAATCAATAATGTTGATTAAGATATTTTATCTTAATCTTAGATTCCTCATTTGTTGGGATATGGGTAGATGAAATATTGAGGCAAGTAGCCTATTTGGCTAGATGAGTTAAGTTTTTTTTTTTTTGGAACCAAAAGGGTTCCAAACACGTGACTTAAAATTTTCCTTTTTTTGTTTTCCTGATTTTTTAAAACAAACGTGTATGGCTTTTGTTGTAATACCAATTTTTTATAAGAGAAGTGGGTGCAATGTACACTGTATTTCTCTTTTAGTTCCTCTAGTTGTCAAAATGCATCTAAAAAAGATGGCAAAATAATATTTTTATTTGAATCAAATAACACCAACATTTTCTCAATCAAAAACCTTCACATATTTTGTTGAATTCTTCACTTGTAGATCATAATGAGATTGCCAGACGATGCAGAAGTAAGCAATGAAATCTGGGATGAGGTGATTGAATGCATGAAGTTGCGGATAGGTGATAAGGTCCCTGTTATTCGTACATTTGCAGTTAGAGCTCTTTCTCGCTTTGTAAATGATTCTGAGAATGGTGACATCCTGGACTTATTCCTTGAGTCACTGCCTCTAGAGCAGAATGCGGTGAGCTTTCTAATTTGGTGGTGGCTACACCTTCAGCTGCTTTCTTTTATGTGATAAAATTTGATGTACTTCTTTTGTATTGTATAAGCTTGGGAGAATGATGCTTGTTTAATTGTTCTAAACTGATAATTTGACTAATTTTATGGATAATACGAACTCGTCAAACATACTTACCAAGGTTTCTACAATTTCATTTTCATACATAAAGAAGAGTTTAATGTTCTGATTCCCAAGACAAATGTAAATAGTACAATACAAAATGACATGGAAAATTCAAAGTTGACTCCGTATATTTGTTTTATTACTAAATATACTTTACTATTCTGAATATAAGTGGAGCACTATTGTTTGAATACCTGGTTATGGTATGCATGTAGGAGGTTCGTAAGACAATTGTACTGTCTTTGCCTCCTTCAATTGCAACTTCAACGGCAATCATCAATTGTACATTGGATGTGAATGAGTCTGTACGCAAAGCAGCTTATTGTGTTTTGGCTAGTAAATTTCCTCTTCAGAGCCTTAGGTATGTTCATGTCTTATTCTTGCACTTCTTCTTACCTTCCCTCTTTTCTTTTAGTCCCTTGTAGTGACATTTTTTTATGATGCATTTAATCTTTGACTGTGAAGCCTGGTGGAGTTTCACAGTGATATTGATCCAAATGATTGCCAAATCCATTTTATTGATTCATGTTTGGTATTTGAAAATTGATTAAAAAAGTTGTTCCAGTGCGCAAGTAGTTATGTAATTAAGCAGTGAAATTATCTATCCGAGAGAGGAAAATCTAGTGCTACACAGTAGCTAATATTTTATTATTATTTCTTTGCAAGGGTAAACCCAAGAAATTATAGCATCATATCATGTATTAAGAAAAGAAATGGACAGGATACTATGAAGCACAGGTACTCTAAAAATAGTGCCGTACGAGTACCGGGTACTTACCGGGTGCGGGTATGCGTACCGGGTACGGCGGTACGCGTATCGGGTATGGCAAAAGAGGGTCTGATACGTTTGGTTCATTCGGGTACGGCGTGGGTACGTTTCGGGTATGCCAGGGCCTTTTTTTTTTTTTTGGTGCCCTTGCAGGTCAGTAATTTTGATGTTTCTCTGCTGTCCTGTCCTGTCTGTATAAATTGTATAAGCATATTAGCCAATGACTTTGATGTTTTTAATAAGCAATTTGAACGAAAAAAAAATAACAAGGCTTATAAAGGATAGTTCTGTGTATGACTATGCATTATGTTTTTGCTTCAGATCCTCCTAGAATTTCTTTATAAAGTCTTTAATCATAACAAACTTTTAAAGTTTATGCACAAAACATTAAAAATTGATACTGTATTAGTTGATTAGTAGTGGTTGGGAATGATGCAATTTTATGTATTATGCAAACTGCAATTGACAACCTGCCCCAATTGAGAATTTTTTTTCCTTTAATGGTGGCAATTAACTTTAAATCTTTCTTTGGTCTCCTGTTATTTCTTTGGTCTCACCCTATAAAAATAGCAAATTGATGAGCAAAAAGAAAGATTTTAAAAATAAATTATAATCACAAACTCACAGTGCATAACATGTCAAAGTGAGAGATTTCACAAATATTATTTTTAACGCTTAATGGTTTTAAATTATAGGAAAATGAGTAGTTCTTTTTTTAGTTTTGATATTTAATTTTAATTTGTAGGTTGGATCCTTTGACCATAATTATATATATATATAAAAAAAATAATATCGGCGTACTGCAGCCGTACCCGTATCGTACTTTTTTTTTTGAGTTTTGCCGAATCGGCGTACCCGCACTCGTACCCGTACCGTACTCGTACCTGCACCCGTGCTTCCTTGACAGGATGTCTTTATTTTATATCTTTGACTATGTGATTGAGCCACTATATTCTTAATTGTCACTGTCTATCACCATAAAAAAGCAGTAAGAAAAACCTCATGTCATTAACTTGCTCTGCCACCATGTTCATGCAAAATAGTTCTGCAATGAAAGGCTCACGACGCTTTTGTAAAAGAATTGCATGTGCTTGTCTTGAAGTTGCACATGTTGGTCCAAGTTATGTCTTTGGTCAAGGTGAATGTTCCTTGGACTGTTCCTTCTTGAGATTAGGATCTCCTCTCTATGACTGACACTTGTTTTAGGCTGCTTCTTAAACTCCGGGACCACACTCTGAAAGTCGGCCTCAAGTTTCTCGGCTAGGCAACTACCATGTCCCTTTTGGTTGGGACTTTCTTATATTCTATCAACTAGGTGCTCAAATAGTTTTGGATGCCAGTGTTCTTTGATTGGTTGGAGAATTCCTAGAAGAAGATGGAGTGCAAAAATGAGATTAAGAACTAGTGTATGCCCTCATCACGAGTCACTCATAAACAGACAACTCATTGTGTAGTCGGCCCGAGTAATCCTCTGTAGGTGTTGGTGAGCACGTTGTTGGGGAACTGTACTTTATGGTACTCTTGCTTGTGGGGATATGCTTAATAGTTTGTCTGTGCAACAGTTTGATCTTAGGAGAGAGATCATAACGTTAGAGGTTTTGTGGCATGTTATTCAGAGTTCTAACAGATAACTAAGAGTGCCTTGTGAAAGCATGGTTTTCTTTTTGAGGCTGGGCAGCTTTCATAACTTTCATTTTTAGCTTTAAAGTGAACACATGATTTTTTTGGGATGAGGGAAACCAAACTTTGCAGTGAAATGGATTTGGCTTGTTTATGAATTGCATTAATCTTATTGTGATGCTTAGGATGAATAAGGTTCTGAGTTAGCTTTTATAAATTGAGATATTACCACTTATTTGATCTGATAAGAAATATATTTTTTGTTTGCATGGTTGCTTTGGTAGCATCAAGCACAGGACTGTTATTCTCCGGAGAGGACTTGCTGATCGTTCTGCAGCTGTGAGAAAGGAGTGTCTAAAATTATTGAAAGATGAGTGGCTTGTGAAGTGTTGTAACGGAGATCCCATTGACCTTCTCAAGTATCTTGATGTTGAGACTTATGAATCAGTTGGTGAGTCTGTAATGGTGGCTCTTTTAAAAGATGGGTTAGTAAAAGTACAACAGGGTCAAAGTATTTTCAGCAATACAACTGAAGGTTTGTATCTAATGTATCTATTTTTTTATATGCTTACTCTCCAAGTGGACCCTGTCATTCTCTAAATATTCTTATCCAATTTTCATGCACAAGGGGGTGGAGAGACTTGAGAGTTTGGGAGCCAGCATTATGATCTGGTTCCTCAATTAATTCAGCATGATGCACTTTCAAGTTAAAAATCAGAAGGTTTGGGGGTTATGCATCAGATATATCCATTTTTTGAGCGACATAAATATATATCTTGATGGTTATATTCATCAAGTTCTTTGCTAAATCTTTTATGTTGGACACATGGAACACTGGTGTCTGCTGACATGTTAACTGCACCTCTGCCTGGTGGTATTGTATTTTAGGGTTTTCTTGTGCGTTTATTCTTTGTCTCACTTGTGTTTTAACCAATCTAGTGAAAATTGAAATTTCAAAGTGGGTGAAATTTATCATTTATTTATTTGTTTGTTCATTGATTCTTGTTTATTTAATTTTGCTGTCTTGCATTTATTGTCCAGCATATTGCAAGAGAGATTTGATATTCCCTTTTGATAACAATTCTGTCTTTTACGATGTAATGAAGTTGTTATTTATTCTAGATGTGTTCTTTGAAAAGAACTTGAAGATGCATAGTAGATATTTTAAATTGTGTTTTCTGTTTGGACTTTTCCAATAGGCAAAAGAGTTGTCTTTTTCATGATGGCAAGGATTGCAGGCTTCCAGTTATAGTATCTTAGTTGCTCTCTCATTTTGTTAGGGAACTGCACCACAAGCATCCAACTAATGGAAGCAGAAGCTGCACTTTATTGGAGGGTTGTATGTAGGCACTTTCAGACAGAAGCACAAGTAAGCAGTTATGATTTGTTTCTTTAATTGTAAGTTTCAGATATTTAAAGACTAACATATTTACAGTGCCTTCACTGCTACAATGATCATGAGAGGGAATTTTATGAGAAAAGATGATTGATTGTAAAATATTTCCAGTCTATTATAGGTTAGAAATTTTATGTTAGGTGCCACAAAAATGCCACTATGCTTGGAACCAAGGAAAGAGTTATCAAACTACATGTTTCCAAATGGTGGAATCATTTTTTTTTCTTCATCTAGGATGGCGTGTTGAAATTTAAAATCAATCTTAAAGCTCATGTCTAGATTTATATTGATACAATGTTACATATAGGAGTGATACTTAAGCTGGTTTTGTAGTATTCTAGTTTTACCTAATAAATAGTTAAAAAGGAGATGCTATTAGAGTCATGACTTGCCAGATACATAGGGTCTTGACTGGTTAGGATGTGTGGGTACATGTACCACACTCGTCATGTGGCGAGCCCCTCGGGGGCCACATCATCAATACCTTACCTACATGGCAGACCTACAAGGCACCACACATGCTCGTATGACTAATTGGGGTTGTATGCCTAGCCTAAGTGGGGGCAGACACACCACAATATTGAATCACAGTATGAAGAGCCCAACAATAGAGCCCAGGCTCGCTAGGCAGCACCATGGGCCACCTCAGGGCCATGTCCTTCACACCTTACTCACTAACTGCTCAATATCAGCATAGTCAGGCCCTTGGTCCACCTGCATTCATTGGGCTGCTAAGGTTGGGTCCTTGGCTCAGCCTACACAAAGATGGGCCCTTGGCTCACCCATTAACTTGGTTGCCTAGGTTGGGAGTAGGACATAGGCACCCCCGCTTGGTATCATTGGAGGATTATGGATTGGAGCTTAAGGCCATGGGATTGTCAAGGTCTTGCTTGGCTGTCTTCCTGCCAAGACAGCTCTACCTTGACCACGCTTGGAGATAGATCTGTCTTGCTGGAAGACAACCATCTAATATCAGCCCTACTGTTGTCTGTGGCTTAGATGGTTGTTATTGAGCTCTTTAATCAAAAGATAAAGCGGTTGAACTGTAATCTTGGAATATGTTGTCTTTGACCTAATGTGGTTACGAGCTTAAGGTTGCAGTGTTTTTCTTGAATTTGCTTGTCATTTCACATATACATCATCTTCGTTATTAAAGAGTTTCCACACATTGTCAAAACAGGCAAAAGGCTCTGATGCTGCCACAACAATGGGGACTGAGGCAGCTGTCTATGCAGCAGAAGCTTCAGATAGCAATGATCTTCTGGAGAGAGTTCTTCCTGCAACCATTTCTGAGTACATAGAATTGGTTAAAGTGCATCTTATTGCTGGTGTGTAAAATTACATGGTTGACATTTGTTGTTTTCTGTATAACTATACAATCTAATACCACCTGATTGCTTCAGGACCAAATTACCGATTTGCGTCTCGGCAACTACTATTACTTGGTGCAATGCTTGATTTCTCCGATGTTGCAAACTGGAAAGTTGCTAGTTCATTTGTGCAGGAGTTACTGCAAAGGCCTCTAGAGCATGAAGTGGATGAAAATAGCAATAAGGTTGTCATAGGAGATGGCATCAATCTTGGTGGAGACAGAGATTGGGCTGAGGCAGTGTCAGGATTGGCAAGGAAAGTGTATGCTGCTTCTGGTGAATTTGAAGAAGTTGTTTTAAGGGTTCTAGAGGAGCTTGCTCGGCCTTGCAGAGAAAGAACAGCAGAAGTCATGCAGTGGATGCACTGCCTTGCTGTGACTGGCCTCCTCTTGGAAAATACAAAGTCTTTTCGTTGGATGCAAGGAAAGGCCTTTGAACCAGCTGAGTTACTGCAGTCTTTATTGCTGCCAGCGGTACGGATGTGGTCTAAAGTTCTGCTGCAGATCTATACCTTGTTTTTCTTTTTTCTTCCTTTTCTTCTACAGGCCACAACTTGGTTACTTGTGGTTTTTGTATAAATGCTTCATTCTCAAATCATTCTTTTCTTTTGGAAGTGTTAACTATTGGTATGACATATAAAATGCAGGCAAAACATGTTCACTTGGATGTTCAGCGGGTTGCTACCAGGTGTCTTGGTCTTTTTGGGTTGTTAGAGAGAAAGCCAAGTGAGGAACTAATAAAACAGTTGAGGCTTTCTTTTGTTAAGGGACCCTCTCCAATCAGTATAATGGCTTGTAAGGCATTGTTGGATCTTGCAATGTGGCATGGTCCTCAGGAAGTAGATAAAGCCATGGGGCAGGATCTCTCATCGCGACTCAAGGATCATGATATTGTTTCTTGTACTGTTCAAATGTCTGATACAAATGGGGATTTGAATTTTGGATTGCTTGACCTATTATTTGCTGGATTAGAGAGAGATGATTGGGTCAAATCAGCAGATGCAGATGAGCATGAGTCAGTTCAAGCTGTTATTGGGGAGGGGTTTGCAAAGATTCTTCTCCTAAGTGAGAACTATCCAAGCATTCCTTCTTCTTTACATCCTTTACTATTAGCCAAGCTCATTGGTCTTTATTTTAGTGATGAAACTAAAGAACTGCAGAGGTGGATGCTTTGTGCCATTATCTGATTCTGAGTTTCTTTCTATGAAAAGCCAATTAATTATATCTCTTTTACTTTATCAGGTTGAGACAGTGCCTGTCTGTGTTCTTTGAGCATTATCCATCACTTTCAAATACTCACAAGGTAAGTTATATATGTTCTTTCAAAATGTAAAGTATGCATACAGATAATCATACATACCTTTGGATTTTCTACCATGTTAAATACATTCGTCTTCTTGTGTTAATGCAGAGATGTGTATCTAAGGCTTTCATTTCAGTCATGCGTTCAATATGGCCCGGCATCACCGGGAATGCTGGAGGGTCTCCATTAATGGTTTCCAACATGCGCAAACATGCTGTCCAAGCATCACGTTTTATGCTGCAGATGATGCAGGCTCCTTTATATACAATAGAGACCAAAACAGTGGATGAAAATGGTATTGAAGGCTTGCCAGAAAACCTTGATGGTTCAGTTCAACCTTCCAATGACTTCGAGAATGGTGAGGAAGGTCTTGCTGTACGCATAGCTACGGAGGTAAATGTTACCACGGTGAAGTTCACTTGCTATTTTGTTAATACCTGGTCAAGAGTATTCATTGTGCTATGTTGGGAGTATTCTTTACTATTTTGGTTATGCATTTGACAGTCTTGTTTACACGAGGCTAGGTTTTGGTTTGTTTTAATATTCCTGCTCACAGAAATGAGTGTTTTTTTTAACTAGTTTTTCCCAAATATAAGGTTTTAGCTAACTGGATATCTACTGCGAAGGAAGCATGGCATAGGATGGCAATTCCAAGCAAATAGAAGGTTCATTTATTTACTTTTATAATTTATGGGAAAAAGGTGATAATTCTCAATAGTTTAGATAAATTTTTTGTGCGCTTTTAAGTTTAAGAAGTTAAAGTAATATTTCTCAATACACTACAAGAAATATAGGTTTTGGCGGCGTTTTTTTAACGACACTTTTTAAAACGTCGCTTTTCGTAATATTTAGCGGCGTTTTAAAAACGTCGCATATTTCTGTAAATAAAACTGTGCCGTTTTGTAATAGAAGGCATTGAGACACGCCTCCGAATGCGTTAGACCTCATGCGCCTCTTTTGAATCTGCAAATAATTGTTAAAGCCTATGTAAACCCTTATTTTGAATACTCACGGCTTCAAATCTCGCCTCTCTCACAACCCTCTTTCTTCGGGCCATTTCCCTAAATAAGCTAAAATAGTAAATCAATTCCCAAACTAAGCCTAGTTTTCAAAGAATTCCCAGAATAAGCTAACTCGCGGTTCACAATCGCGATTTTAACATATTTCCGCCTGTTGCGCGTGAAAGTTGGCAGATCTTAAACTCGCTGTTACGAAAAGCGATTTTGATTAAGAAATCGCGGTTACAAAACGCGAATTTAATTAATTTTTTTTTTTGAACTCGCTGTTACAAAACACGATTTCGTCAAAAAAAAAATTGTTCTGAACTCGCTGTTATAAACCACGATTTTATCAAAAAAAAAATTTCTTCTGAATTCGCTGTTATAAATCACGATTTTCACAAAAAACTTTTAATATATATTAAAATGTGATCAATATAAAACATAAGTTGTTGGTAGCTCAAATGGTAGTGCAATGTTATGCCTTGGCAGGGGCGTGGGTTCAATTCTCTTCAGGTTTTTCTTTTCTTTTCTTTTTTTTTTCCCTACTCACTCTATACTTTATATATTTATTATGTAATTTTTTTATCAAAAAAAAGTAAAACATTTGTGTGGTTAACTAAAATTTTTTTCTATAAAACATAATTTTTTTCAAAATATCAACATAATTGTTTAAAAAGTATTCAGTGTATTTGATGTGAGTTTTTTGGATTTAGTTGTTTGAAAATTGAGTTTTTTTATTTTCGTATTTTTTTGTTTTTAGTGAATATTTTTAAAATTTTAGATATTTTTTTTTTACTTTTTTAGATGCACCTTACTTAGATATATCTAAAAAGTAAAAAAATTTGTGAAAAAATATTTTTCAAAATTAATAAATACATAAAAATACAAAAAATGTACAGAAAAAATATTTTTATATTTTTAGTATTTTTTCAGAAAAATATACTCAAAAAAATATGCACAGTGAAAGCGTACTCAAAAAATGTACTCAAAATATATTTTTTCAGCAAAATGTACGCTTTTAAAATGTACTAAAATATTTTAAAAGCGTACATTTTTTGAGTACATTTTGCTGAAAAAATTAATATTTTTCTGAAAAAATATTAAAAATACTATCTAAAAAGTAAAAAATTTGTGAAAAAATATTTTAAAAAATTAATAAATACATAAAAATATAAAAAAAATGTACTGAAAAAATATTTTTGTATTTTTAATATTTTTTCAGAAAAATATTAATTTTTTCAGCAAAATGTACTCAAAAAATGTACGCTTTTAAAATATTTTAGTACATTTTAAAAGCGTACATTTTGCTGAAAAAATATATTTTGAGTACATTTTTTGAGTACGCTTTCACTGTGCATATTTTTTTGAGTATATTTTTCTGAAAAAATACTAAAAATACCAAAATATTTTTTCTGTACATTTTTTGTATTTTTATGTATTTATTAATTTTAAAAATATTTTTTCACAAATTTTTTACTTTTTAGATATATCTAAGTAAGGTGCATCTAAAAAAGTAAAAAAAAAAATATCTAAAATTTTAAAAATATTCACTAAAAACAAAAAAATACGAAAATAAAAAAACTCAATTTTCAAACAACTAAATCCAAAAAACTCAAACCAAATACACTGAATACTTTTTAAACAATTATGTTGACATTTTGAAAAAAACTGTGTTTTATAGAAAAAAATTTTAGTTAACCAAACAAATGTTTTACTTTTTTTTGATAAAAAAATTACATAATAAATATATAAAGTATAGAGTGAGTAGGAAAAAAAAGAAAAACCCACGCCCCTGCCAACGCATAACATTGCACTACCATTTGAGCTACCAACAACCTATGTCTTACATTGATCACATTTTAATATGTATTAAAAGTTTTTGGATAAAATCGTGATTTATAACAGTGAATTCAGAAGGAATTTTTTTTGGATAAAATCGTGATTTATAACAGCGAGTTCAAAACAAAATTTTTTTTGACGAAATCGTGTTTTGTAACAGCGAGTTCAAAAAAAAAAATTTAATTAAATTCGCGTTTTGTAACCGCGATTTCTTAATCAAAATCGCTTTTCGTAACAGCGAGTTTAAGATTTGCCAACTTTCACGCGTAACAGGCGGAAATATGTTGAAATCGCGATTGTGAATTGCGAGTTAGTTTATTTTGATAATTCTTTGAAAACTAGGCTTAGTTTGGGAATTGATTTCCTATTTTAGCTTATTTAGGGAAGAGGCTTTTCCCAATATAAGCCATTTTTCCATTATATTTCCAAAACTAGGCCAACTTCTGACGGAATTCCAAAACTAAGTTAAAGCGCCATTACTATTCGCGCTTTTACTGTTAGGAGTGCAAAAGTAGATGAACAGGAAAATCGCTATTACAAATAGCGACTTTGATTAAGAAGTCGCTATTACAAATAGCGCTTCTAGCGTTTGTTTTTCTGCGGATAAAAACGCTTTTCCTAACAGCGCTTTTTACAAAATTGCCAAAAAACGCTATTTGTAATAGCGATTTTAACAAAAAAAATTTCCCAGAAAAAACGCTATCTCTAATAGCGATTTAAGTTCAAATTTTGTTGCCAAAAAAACGCTATTTCTAATAGCGATTTCATTTAAATGAAAACGCTTTTTAGATCAGCGTTTTCAAAGTCCTCATATATACAAACGAAACCCCCCCTCATTTGCATACGTTTTTCAGATTTTCAGACTTAGGTTTTTCGCTCTCTGCTCTCTGCTCTCGCTCGCTCTCTCTCTCTCTGCTCTCGCTCCTCCATCTCAGCTCGCTCTCGCTCTCTGTCTCTGCTCTCTCTCTCTCCGTGGTATGACATTAACCCTAATTTTATGTATTTAGTTTTTGTGTTTGTGAATGTGTTGTATTTTTCTGTCAATGTTAGGGTTTTACTTGTGAATTATTAAATGCGTTAGGGTTTTTATCATTGTGGTTATGAAATTAGGGTTTGGAATTTTTTGGCATACGGGTTAGGGTTTTTCTGTCAATGTTAGGGTTTTTAAATGTATTTGAATTTTTTGGAATCAGGGTTAGTTTTTGAATTTTTTGGAATTATTAAATGTATTTTTCTGTCAATGTTAGGGTTTTTATCATTGTGGTTATGAAATTGAATATGGTTATGAATGTTTATGCTTTGTCCGTGTGGTTGTGGTGATGAAATTAGGGTTCGATATTAGATTTTTCACATTATTAGGAATGTTCAAATTAGGATGTCATTTTAGGGTTTACATTATTAAGTGTTGTAATGCATTTGAATTTTTATGCTTTTGAATCATAAATCGGGTTTGGAATTTTTTGAATTTTTTGAATTTGTTAAATAAATCATAAATATGAGAATTGAGAATTGAGAATTGAAATTTGGAATGATGAAATTCAGAAATCATCAATTCATATAATTGATAATTGTTAATGTGATATTATGAAATTCATATAATTGAGAATTGAGAATTGAGAATTGAGAATTGAGAATTGAGAATTGAGAATTGAGAATTGAGAATTGAGAATTGAGAATTGAGAATTGAGAATTGAGAATTGAGAATTGAGAATTGAGAATTGAGAATTGAGAATTGAGAATTGAGAATTGAGAATTGAGAATTGAGAATTGAGAATTGAGAATTGAGAATTGAGAATTGAGAATTGAGAATTGAGAATTGAGAATTGAGAATTGAGAATTGAGAATTGAGAATTGAGAATTGAGAATTGAGAATTGAGAATTGAGAATTGAGAATTGAGAATTGAGAATTGAGAATTGAGAATTGAGAATTGAGAATTGAGAATTGAGAATTGAGAATTGAGAATTGAGAATTGAGAATTGAGAATTGAGAATTGAGAATTGAGAATTGAGAATTGAGAATTGAGAATTGAGAATTGAGAATTGAGAATTGAGAATTGAGAATTGAGAATTGAGAATTGAGAATTGAGAATTGAGAATTGAGAATTGAGAATTGAGAATTGAGAATTGAGAATTGAGAATTGAGAATTGAGAATTGAGAATTGAGAATTGAGAATTGAGAATTGAGAATTGAGAATTGAGAATTGAGAATTGAGAATTGAGAATTGAGAATTGAGAATTGAGAATTGAGAATTGAGAATTGAGAATTGAGAATTGAGAATTGAGAATTGAGAATTGAGAATTGAGAATTGAGAATTGAGAATTGAGAATTGAGAATTGAGAATTGAGAATTGAGAATTGAGAATTGAGAATTGAGAATTGAGAATTGAGAATTGAGAATTGAGAATTGAGAATTGAGAATTGAGAATTGAGAATTGAGAATTGAGAATTGAGAATTGAGAATTGAGAATTGAGAATTGAGAATTGAGAATTGATTCATCAAAATGCTTGAGTTATTAGTGGCATAATTTTATACCATCAACAAACTTCGAACTTTGAATTGAAAAGTTCAAACAATTTGCAAGATGCAATCAGAACGGGAGCCTCTATTTCCGGACATCGAATCCTGGGGATGAGAAAAAAATTGATAATCGATCTGATTCAGATCAAATCAAACTGTTTGGTTTTGTTTTCTTTATGTATGATTTGGTTTTGATTCTTAAAATAGA